AATTTTCTCCCTGTGAGTTCTCACAGCCCTTTCTCTTGTGATTTTCTATGTGGTGTTTCAGTTTCTGCTCCTGTTCATGACTCCTCTCTGCCCTTTTAGACTTCCATCCCCTCGAGGGGCAGTAGCTTCATCTCCATATTTTAATAGGAACTACTGCTAACACCCATCTAGGGCTGGTTAAAAAACAAAATTCAACCAAGGAAATTTTGAAGATCTAATGGACTTTATTAAATGATTCATGAATTGAGATGCACCCCATCTAGAAGGTAGAGGGATGCTCCAGGAAGGAGGGTGGGGCAAGAAAGTTACAAACAAAAGACAAGAAAGGATTTTTCCAGGGGAGACCACCTTTCCTTAGGGGGAAAGACTGGGGGGGTCTTACTATGCAGATTACCCCATCTTCCTTTGGGGGGGCAGGGTGGAGGGTCCATGTGACAGATTACCTCGTTGGTGCTTCTCAGAAAATTCCCAATGGATAGGTTCAGACTCACATTTCTGGGGTACCTGGCTGGCTCAGTCGGGGTTGTGAGTTTGAGCCCCAGGGCACAGAGATTACTTTAAATCATATATATATATATATATATATATATATATATGATTTATATATTCATATATATATATATACGAATAAGACTGACATTTCTGGAGGAGGATGACTACAATTAAGTTAGATATTAAGCCCTGGCTTGGTGACTTGGCCTCGCACAAATAAATGCCATTTGGGCCTGTGGTTTTTCTTTTTGACAGGCTTTTTACAGTGTCCAAAGCATTTCCTCCTCTGCTTTTTCATTCTGAACCAAAGTGCAATCCCATTAGGTGGGAAGGATTATTCCCACTTCACAGATCAGGAAACTGAGGCCTCGGGGGAGCAGTGACATGGCCAAGCAGTGACATGGCCAAGCTCAAGCAGCAAATCAGTGGATAAGAAGTTAGGTGTTTCTGGATTCCCAAGGCAGGGCTCTTTCTGCTGGCCAAAGGGTTTTGAATCTAGAGTTCAAACCTTCAGTGAAGATCCCTGGGACCTCCTTCTGCGCCTTTACTAGGTGATTCTGTTACAGGATTTCTTTTCCTTTAGTGCCCGCGTTCTTGGTCATGACACTTCAAAGACTGAAGAGGTAGTCCAGATGAAAGCAAAGTTTATTGATCCATAGTTATTGAGCAAAAGTACAAATCTCCCAAAGAGGGAGGGGACCTGAGAGGGTTGCCACCAAAGTTTTGGGCTTGTTGACAGCCCGTTTTAATCTGATTAACCCTCCCTGCTCCTGTCATCCAATCAGGTTTTTGTCATCTACCTATCACAGGGGAAAGGGTGGAGGGCTCCTTCCAGGGTGGTGTAAAATCCTTTTAAAGGTGGTTTCCTCTTAGGGTGGGAGGGACAGGGAAGGGCTCTTGTCCGTGCCTGCCTTTTTTTCCGACTATCCTGCATTAATTCTTTTCTTTTCTTTTTTTTTTTTTAAAGATTTATTTATTTATTTGAGAGAGAGAGAGAGAGAGCATGAGAGGGGGGAGGGTCAGAGGGAGAAGCAGGCTCCCCGCCGAGCAGGGAGCCCGATGCGGGACTCGATCCCGGGACTCCAGGATCATGACCTGAGCCGAAGGCAGTGGCTTAACCAACTGAGCCACCCAGGCGCCCGCATTAATTATTTTCACTCAACATGCCCTCCCTCCCTAACCCAAGATATCCCTTGGCCTGCACGGCCATCTCGATGTGACCATCTCGATGCTTCCTGAAACACCGCTCTGACCAGCCCCAGTCACTGCCTCACTATGCATCTGGAACCAACCTCCAAATCCTAGTGAAAGAGGGCTTTCCATCCATTTTGACCTCAAATGTTCCAATTGATTAACTTCTTTCCAGTTTATCTCTTCCCTCTGGTAAAAGACCCTGTGGGCAAATCATCTGGTGCTGGGAACCGAACTAACTACCGGGTTAAGCAATCAGCAACTGCCCTGACCCAGCAAGACCCCACCCGCAGGCAATCCACTCCAAGACAATGATGGACAGATCTTTACTGCCCACCTGCGGGGACCGCAGACCTTTGTCCCACATTTTCCTGCGTAAACCTGGAAGTATTTTCAGCACTTTGGAGACAGTCTTTGAGAAGCTAGTCAACCTTCTTCTTGGTTTGGCCTCACATAAATTCCTTTCTTGTTTTACCCCTCCACTTGTCTCTCTGCCTTTGGATTTTGTCTGCGCAGGTGGTCGAAACTGGTCTGTTTGGGACCCCCGGAGACAGGTGCTTGTGCATCCCTGTGCCCCGGCTACACCAGGGAGGGCAGATGGAGGTGTGTGCTCCAGCCCTGTGCTTCCACGCTCTGGACCAGAACCTGGGTTTGGATCCCAGCACGGCTGTCTGCTGCCTCCGTTTCCTCATCTGTAAAAGAGGAATAGGACTGCTGACCTTAAGGGCTCATTGTGAGGGTGAATTCAGAGAGGGACCATGAAAGGTGGTGAGATGCTTCACATCTCAAAGCAGTGCGGAAGGAGAAGGGACTTGGAGGAATGCAGGAATGCCCCCTCTGACCTTGCACTTGGGTGGTGGTCTTTCAGCCTCAGGGGGCCCTCCTCCACTCCCCAGCCTGGCTCAATCTCCTGCTCTCCAGTTTACTTCCTGGGCTGTACTTAAGCTCATTAGCTCTCTCTCTCTCTTTTTTTTTTTTTAAGTCTATTTATTTATTTATTTAAGTAATCTCTACACCCAACATGGGGCTCCAACTCACAACCCCGAGACCAAGAGTTGCATTCCTCCTCTAACTGAGCCAGCCAGGCACCCCCTCATTGTCTCTTTATCTGTATCCAGGTCTCTTCCCAAAGTTTGCATTTTATCTCTGTGGCTACGCAGACTTGCTAGCTGGGTGGGGAAAGCAATGGGCTCTATACGCAGAAAAAAATTGGCCTGGATGACCAAGCCCTGGCATCTCTCCAAACCTCAAATTCTCATCTGTAAGATGTGGACAGTAAGACTGCTCACCTTGTGGGGCTGTGGTGAGGTTTAGGCCAGCCGCTGTTTGGTGTGGTATCATCCAGCCCCATGTGGCTATTTAAGTTCATTAATTAAAGTTAAGTAAGGTCTTAAAAATTCAGCTCCTTGGGTCACACTAGCCACATCCCAAGTGCTCACATGTGGATGGCACAGCTAGAGAATATTTCTATCATTGCAGGAAGAACTATTGGGCAGCACTACCTAGGTAAAGCGCTCAAGCCTGCACCGGGCACCCATGGTGTGTGGGCATAATTCATCTGAAGTTGCAAACTCTGAGGACGGGGGCCATGATTTCATGCAAAGTTCTCCTCTTCTAGAAGGCCCAGCAAAGAGTGAGTTGCAGTTTACAGGGAGTGTTAGACTAGTTGAGAGCCTTCTCCAGAAGAGGGGCCAGCCAAGTTCAAAAACAGGGAGCTCAGGTTCCTGTCATAAGGCTAATTCACTCTCCTGGTGGAGAAGGGACATTGAGCAGTGGGAGGGGGTTGCAAACCATGGGGAGGAGTTTCTAGCATCTGGAACTACCAGCTCTGGACTTTATAGAGGAAATATGGCCAGGTGACTTTACAAATGTGTTAGTCTCTCTCTCTCTCTCTCTCCCCATTCCCCTCCTCCCCTCTCTGTCCTTCCCCTCCCTCTCCTTTCTTTCCTCCCCTTCCCTCTGTTTCTCTCTCTCTTCTCCCCTTTCCTTTCGCTCTTACATTTGTCCCTGAGAAGGGAAGTCTAGATCCCAGCTTGGAAGAACAGAAGGGAGGTCTTCATCCACCAGGCTTCTTCATAGGGAGGAGGAATATAAGGCTCAGAGAAGTGCAATGACTTGTCTAAGGTCTCTTAGTAAGTGAGGGCAGAATGGGACTCATGGACACAGCTTCCCTGAAACCAGAGCTTGGCAGAGTGTTGATGTCACCTGGGCCTCCTTGGAACACAGGCGACAGGGATGGTGCTGTGTGCCAACCCAGCGAGCCCTGAACCACACCCCAGACTCTTCTGTGAGGGGTTTCTGCCGACCCGACCCTGTCTGGAGTAGGTTAGTCAGCTGTGAGGTCCCAGGAACCTCTCCAAGGTCTGCCTCTTGTCCAGCTTTGTCTTCGACTCCTTTTGAGCCTTGCACAGAGCCTGGCACAACGCAGGTGCCTCTTGGGCACTGGATGAACCAGGCGGAGGGGGCAATTGCTGTTGCTCTTGTGAGTTTCAGGCCGTGAGAAGCGGTGAGTCTGTAAATTCCTCGTGTGAGGATGACGGTGAGCCAAGCGCTCCACATTTTTAGTGTAAGGATCCCTCTGGCAATCTAGCAAAGCCGATGCATCCCTTCTCAGAATCATTTTTGAGTGTGTTTTATTGAAGTATTAACACACATACGGAAAAGTGCCTACATCTAAAGTGTACATCAGAGAATTTTCACAAAGTGAACACACTTGTGACAATGGCATTCAGCTCAAGAAACCGAAGGTGACCAGGGCCCCAGTAGCCCCTGGCCCCTTCCAGGCTCTACCTCCTGAGAGAAGCCCCTTTTGGAATAATGTTTTCAAGTGCATACTGCAAGGTTAAGAACGGGGTTTCAGCGCTGGTGGAGGGCTCTGTGTGAGTGCCTGAGGATGGCGAGATGCGTGTGGAGTATGGGATGGGCGTTTTTTGCGGGGGTCTGAGTGAAGGCTGCCGAGTGCGTGGGTTCGGGTATGAATTTGCCAGGGTTTGCGGGTGGTTGGGGGGTCGTCGAGATGCGTGTGTGGAGTTTGGGGGGGATGCTTGAGGGATTCCGGCGTAGGTCGTGGGGCGCCGCTGGAGTGTGGGGCGCTGTGCTTGGGGTCCAGGGTATGTGGGCGGAGGTCGCGGGGGCGGGGCCTCGGCG